ATAATTTGATTCACACTCCCTGTGGGATCGACCCTTGCTCGCCACTGCTACCAGTTAGTAGAGGTTAGTCAAGGAAAAATATAAATTTTAATTTTGCCGCGTTGCGACGCGCGGTCATAATGGCATAATCATAATGAGATATTGTTTGTACTTTTTTTTTATTTGTAGTAATTTTTTTTTATTTGCGGTTAAGAACCGAACATTTCGGTTCGGTTTGGTTCGGTTTTTTTTTCTCTTGCAGTGCGATGCGGTTAAAAAATTTCAGAAAATTGATTTTCGGTTTCTTTGCGGTGCGCACCATGCTTACCCCTAGTAAAAATAGATGAACGGACACATGTCCGAATCTTAAAAAATCGTCAATTTAAAACAAAAATCTTAGAATGTCACTTAAAAATCTAAAATGATATACTACCCCTAGTTTTTTTTTTTTTTTTTTTTTTTTTTTTTTTTTTTATCAACTCTATGTCGTTTGCGTACATTTCTCCCTTTAATAATGTTTTATAGTGAGTGTCAAATGTAAGAAACAAGGAAAAAACATAGGTGTTGTCCCAATAGAACAATAATAACAAAAAAATTCAAGTGAATCTCGAGTGAGGTTCCCTCTTAAAACTAATTGGTAAAAAGATGAGTAGTCCACTAGGCTTATAAGTTATGTATATTTTTCTTGTAAATTATGTCTATTTTTCTTGTATAAACGATGTGAGACAACTCAAAAATGGTATTATATTCTAATATCATATACATATGTTTTCATTAAAAAATATATTTTAAAAAACTATTTATACATTTAAATAAAAACTTCTACTGCGCTTGTCTATTACATGAGTGTTTATTGAAAATTTTATAAATAAAAAGTGAAAAAATATAAATTTTTATTTAAACATTTAAATATTTTATTTAAAAAAATTATATTTTCTTTTATTTCTATTTAAAATGACACTCGTTGTCTGTAAGATTTGCTCATCTTATTCTAATAATAATTTTTCTAATTCATATTATATAATGGACTTGATATATAAATTGAATTAATAATTAAAAATTTTATTATTTTACAATTAGGAAATATGAGATAATTTTATTTTATTTATAAAGTTAGATATAAGATTTTATATCTGCAATATGGATATCAAATCAAGATAATAATTTGATATGTCATATATAATATGAAAAAAAAAACTATAATAAATAAAAAGCTAATAAGTTTAAAAATATATTTATAATTAAAGTTGATTAAGTTTTTTATAATTTTAAAAATTCCATAGCCATGGATAAAATTCCAAATCTAATACTACATCATTTAACGGTAACAAATCCCGACAGAATGTTCCGTAACTGGACATTAGCATTTACCCACTATAGAACTTTCCTCAATTCAACATTCCTAGATCGATTATAACTCTCCCCAAACAGATCTCCATCATCCCTATAAATTAAAATTCGAATTATAACTATGCTTACATAACAGAAACTAGTACGAATCTCGTGCGATACACGGTAAGAAATATTCATTAATATTTTTAATTAAATATATTCATGAAATAATAGTTATAAATAA